TTGTCTCTCTCTCTCTCTCCTCCTCTTCCCCCCCCCCCCCCCCCCCGAACTTCAAATAGACAAAAAGATGCAATATCTTCTTGTCAGGGATTTTTATTCCCTTCACCCAGAGTTCAAGATGATGGGACGAGTTCACATGCATATCTCCTCTTTATGCGTGTGGGGGGAGCAATCAAAAAAGTATTTGTCTTCTCATGTTCCACAGTGGTTTGTCTGGGGTCTGTGGGGCAGTAGATAACACCTCTTGTGACAAACTAGTATTTCAAACTTGGTAATGTTTCTCACCTGACTGGTGGGGGGAGGAGATAGGGTTTACAGTTACAGAGCAAACATTTCAATATTACCTTATAACATGGGATATAGATATTATAGGTGCGATTTCTATATGTAGCAACATACAAGCATTTCATAGAGTCTAAACACTAAATATATTCTTATAAGACTAATACCTATTTTGAACAAAACTAACATATAGGTGACCTGGTCTGTTCTCCAGCTACAAGGTTGTCAGTTCTTAGCTAATGCCTGCAGCCTGGGCAAGAGCTGGCATCTGGCCTGAAAGCATCACAACTTGCACTAGGCAGCCACCAAATTTTAGTTCAGTGACCATTTCTCTCGATCAGAATGAGGTCTGGTATTGAATTGCCCCCTGTTGAGAGGATTTTTTTTTTCTTAAATTATCTATGATTTGTAGAAACTCCAGGTTGAAGTCCTCTGGTTTTTCTTTGTCTGGTGGTAGTGGTGCCATGTCGAAGGGCAACATCCATAGACTGTTTTTCCAAGTGCTGGATGGGTAGGAAGATGCATAAGTACTTTTAGCAAACTACCTGTAATATAAATGAATGAGTTCTGTGTAATCAAATACCTGCTCATGCTCTTTATATTAAAAAAAAACAAAAACAAAAAAACTTTCCCATCCTAGAAGAAACATGCAGATTTTTAAAAACCCCATCTGTGAAAGTTTGGAGCTAGTTCAGCACTAAGTGCAAATACACTTTTTAAAGAATGTGATGCTCCAGCAAGCACAATTGCCTCCATGGTAGATGCTGCAGATGTAGATGGCTGACAGTGCCTGATCTTTGGAAAAAGCATGAGAACCTAATGTATAAAGATGGGAAGCTTTGGGGGGAGATGGTACCTGATCTTATTAAGGAAAACAATGTCAGATTTCAATCATCCCTTTACCTTTTTCTCTCATAAAGGGGAGAGGAAGACAACAGGCAACAAACCAGCCAATATTTATAGACATAAGTTCAAGAGTGCTCAGTATCTCCCCATTGGCCTATAATAATCTTGGATATATAGATGTTCAACATTGTTGAGCAAATAAGAATTCCTGTTATAAATTGGGTGGGGGGCTCATCAGTTGGAAACAAAAGATTGAGAGAGACCTGGGTATATTAGTTTGGTTGCAGATGCTGAGCCATCAGCATGATGCAGCCATAAAAATGGCAAATGCAATCCTAGGGTGCATCAGATGAGGTATTTCTAAAGAATTACCTCATCTGGAATACTGTGTGTAATTCTGGGTTCCCATGTTCAAGAAAGATGAGAAGGGGAATGGAGAGCCTATCTTATCGGAGGAGACTAAAAGAGCTTGGCTTGTTTAGCCTAGCAAAATCGGGGGTGTATGATTACACCCTGATGCATTTATAGAGCATAAACACCAAGGTGGGAGAAGAGCTGTTTAAGCCAGTGGCAATTTGGTACAAGAAATAATGGGTATATACTGGTCATGAATAAATTTAGGCTGGAAATTAGAAGGTTTCTAACCATCAGAGGAGTGTGATTTTGGAACAGCCTTTCAAAAGGAGTAGTGGGGTACAAAGCACTTAATTAGTTTTAAGGAGGAGCTTGATAATCCCATTCATAAACTTACATGAAGGGGTTACCTCTGATCGTGGGGGACTGGACTTGGTGGCCCAGGAAGTCTCTTCTAGTACTATGTTCCTGTGTCCAAAGCTACAAAATTCGTTTTTAAAGTCTTACCAAATTGTCCCGCTTGAGTTAGCTCTTGATTACTGCAGAATTTGGAGGCCGGGGGGAACTGCAGGAAATCCACTTCCTTCTCACAAAATGCTATTGAACCTATTCCACAGGGTGAAATATGAAAGGAATTTTATTCCAGCTTGGTACTAAAGGTTAGGAAGAATATGCTCAGTCCTGGATTTCATGATACCAGATCACTGTTTTTTGCACTACTTATGTCAGCATATATAGTCATGTAAAGTTTAGCATTCTCAGACTATCATCTCAGCATCCAGAACACGGGATGCATATGCAAACATGATTTAAAAGTGGTTATTTTTGAGATGTAAAAAAAGATTAAAAACAGCTGCCATTCCGTGGATACAGTTATAGTTATGGTTTGAGATCAACTTGTTAGCAGGCTAATCTGGAAGAGGATGTGTAATTCACTCACATTTGCTATAGCGACATTAATTTCACTGGGAAGTTATAAACAGTATTGGAAATACTGTTTTACACTCAGAATTCCAGATCCATTTCATTTGTTTTCTGACATGCTGTACTCTTTCGGTTTTCAAGTTGTCCAGCCTGCAACTTGCTCCTGTGGTACTATACTTAGGCATTTTAAAAAAAAAGATTATACACATGACCATTCATCTGGACATGCGCTATGGATTCAAGATGACTGAAAGAGTAAAGTCGGTTACCAAATTGTGCAAAAGCAGTGCATCTAGAATTCTGTAATCAGTGGATTTTACAACTAGGACACTATAATATTAGCATTACTAACCTTTGTATATATCCCAGACAAAAAGTTTAAAGCTTAGAGAATGTATCTAATTTAAGAGTAACAAAAAATTACAGATGTTGCCTGATAGATTGTGTATTAATTATATTGATTATTTAAGAATTTCTAGTTAACGCTCTGAAGTTTGATAGGTTCTTGTCCCAAGATCAGGCCTAGTATTAAAATTACTGTTCAGTTGGGAACCCTGATGTGCACAATTTCAACATTCACATGCAGGAAAACCCTTCTGGATTTGTAATAGCTTGATTAGTACAGTTCACAAAGTCACCAACATGCTAACCCAGCAAAGTTGATGGAATGTACATCTGAACATCCATATACCTACACTATCTCTTCCAGAACAACCTGCAATGTTAGTCCCTATCTTTCTCATCACCATCACCAGTGCCGTAATCGTGGCACGTCCCAAGGGCTACAACTCTCCCTCTCTAAGCACATAGACTGGTATACAACTTTTATAATATGTTATGCTGACACCACTATGCCTAATACATATTCAGTAAGGGTTTCTCTACTCTTCCTTATTTGTATTTCTTCACCTTAATAATGCGGGGTGTCTCTGTAGGTTACTATATTAATGATTTTAGCTTATTACCATATTTGTTAAGTCATTGTCAAGGCAAACTTGCAGTTAAGCATTTGCCAAAATTTAATCCTAAAATATCCAAGCCTAGTATCAGTTCAGTGTTCTTGCAGTTACCTGGTATCATTTTGTACGAACTTCCCCTGTAAACACACCTTTACCAGTTCCCTCAAAACTCAGAGTAACTGTCTGGTAACTTGCTCTTGCTTAGGCCATGGGCCTCAAAGCCTTATGCTAACTGCTCAAGCTAATGTCTTACAGGATGTAGACATGTAGGCTCATTGTTTTACTGCCTTAACTTATGCCTATTCTTTACTTAGCAAATACTTAGGCTACACAGGGATGTTGTAACTATCCCAAAACCAAGCATTATAAACTCAGCAAATTCAGAGTAAGGCCACACTTAAAAGAAATTCAAATATCTTAAGGTAATAAATCCACTGTTTTCCCCCCGGAATATCAAATCAAGTGCAAAATCATATTTTGCATTTTAAATGCTACATTACACTCAGTTAGTGTGACGTCAAACACTTTTCTTTATGTTGCGATGTAAGAAAAGTCTAAGGCCACAGCATTATTCCTGAACAGAATTATGTGTCTGTCATTAACAAATAGAACTTGTTTACTTTGAATGTTGCAGCATATATTGGAATATATATAAAATACGTGAAATACTTAAATCCAGCTAAAAGATACTATACTAACTACAGTATCATATTTATTTACAGTCATTCAGTTCGCTGCGGCCAATCCACCACAATTCATTGTTCTAATGTATGTGGGAATACTTTAAATTGTGGTAGGCATAACTGTGCCCAGGTGTGCCATGTGGGAAAATGTCATCCTTGCCAGCTTACAGTACAGCAAGGTAGGTATCAGACATGTGGAAATGTACTTAGATTTGTATGTTCAGTAGAGTTGTTTTTCAATTTCTTTAAGTTAGCTAACTGCTAGTAAACTAATAAATTAGAGTACAAAAGTGAACAAAATAACAGGTAATCTTTAAGGCCAAGATTTTTAAAAAATGACTGTTGAAGTTGCACTTACTTTAAAATGGGTCACTAGCCCTTATTCTTTATATGCAAGTACATCTTAAACCTTTTTATTTAGTAATTATTTCCTGAACACTGAAACAACTTAAAATTCATTCTAATATTTCCCAGGAACATGTCTCAGGTTTGTCCTTTTGCTGATGCAGCCATATAAAGAGTTTATTTGTTCCAGTAAAACCCGGAATTAGGCTCGGTTTTAATCTAAAATTTGAATAGTGCATAAAGTCTCTTCCAGTATAGTGGGAGTGGTGACTGCCATAGCTTTGTAACTGCTTTCAGTTGCTTATATCATCTTGAATTTCACCTTTTCGGATTAAATTTTTCAAGCTCAATCTTTGCCTTAAAGTAAATATTTTGGGGAAAGTTTAAGCAAAAAATGATTCAGCCACTTTTGAGAGTGGAAAAACAAAATTAAAAAACAAAAAAAAACAGGAATATTATTTTGATTACTTTCAACAGTAAAAATGGTAGGAAGTTGAATTATTGTATGGAAATAGCTCACATTAAAGAGAAATGCCTTTGTTCCATTGAAATTTGGTTTTGTGTTGATTAAGTTATAAGCCTTTTAAAAATTACAGTCTTGAAGATATGCAGTACGTTTTAAAGACTGGTTTTCCACTAAATTTGTAAAAAATGCACAGCCAAGGAAGGCAATTAGCACATGCACAAACTAGTTTTCTGTACAGCGAAAAGTGTACTGATGGGCACCATCAAAAGGTGGAAACAGAGCTGCTTTCATCCTCTTTAATATTGGCAGTAGGGAACTTTGCTTCAGTTCATCTTAAGAGCCCTATAGCTGGGGAAGTTCAGCCAGCCTGCCTTCTCCTGTTGTGGACTTCCAAAAGTATATGGACAAGAGTGGAGCAGGTAGAGCAGCCAGTGAGTGGCCAACAGCCAGTCTCCATTCAGCCCCTGCTTACATCATGGCAACTCCTGTTCCTTCTTAATATTGCAGTGAAGACGAAGGTGTGATGGTGAGTTTGGCCAGTTTTTCTTGCTGGCCCAAATTTTAGGGATGAGCGGAAATGAACAAAGGGAAGGAGACAAAAGAAGGCAGCTTCCCCTGAAGATGTGGAAGGTATAGAATCATAGAATTTCAGGGTTGGAAGAGACCTCAGGAGGTCATCTAGTCCAGCCCCCTGCTCAAAGCAGGACCAATCCCCAACTAAATCATCCCAGCCAGGGCTTTGTCAAGCCTGACCTTAAAAACCTCTAAGGAAGGAGATTCCACCACCTCCCTAGGTAACCCATTCCACTGCTTCACCACCCTCCTAGTGAAAAAGTTTTTCCTAATATCCAACCTAAACCTCCCCCACTGCAACTTGAGACCATTACTCCTTGTTCTGTCATCAGGTACCACTGAGAACAGTCTAGATCCATCCCCTTTGGAACCACCTTTCAGATAGTTGAAAGCAGCTATTAAATCCCCCCTCATTCTTCTCTTCTGCACACTAAACAATCCCAGTTCCTTCAGCCTCTCCTCGTAAGTCGCGTGCTCCAGCTCCCTAATCATTTTTGTTGCCCTCTGCTGGACTCTTTCCAATTTTTCCACATCCTTCTTGCAGTGTGGGGCCCAAAACTGGACACACTACTCCAGATGAGTCCTCACCAATGTCAAATAGAGGGGAATGATCACGTCCCTCGATCTGCTGTCAATGTCCCTACTTATACAGCCCAAAATGCCATTAACCTTCTTGGCAACAAGGGCACACTGTCGATTTATATCCAGCTTCTCACCCACTGTAATCCCTAGGTCCTTCTCTGCAGAACTGCTGCCTAGCCATTTGGTCTCTAGCCTGTAGTAGTGCATGGGATTCTTCCGTCCGAAGTGCAGGACTCTGCACTTGTCCTTGTTGAACCTCATCAGATTTCTTTTGGCCCAATCCTCTAATTTGTCTAGGTCCCCCTGTATCCTATCCCTACCCTCCAGCGTATCTACCACTCCTCCCAGTTTAGTGTCATCTGCAAACTTGCTGAGGGTGCAGTCCACGCCATCCTCCAGATCATTAATGAAGATATTGAACAAAATCGACCCTTGGGGCACTCAGCTTGAAACCGGCTGCCAACTAGACATGGAGCCATTGATCACTACCCGTTGAGCCCGACGATCTAGCCAGCTTTCTATCCACCTTACAGTCCATTCATCCAGCCCATACTTCTTTAACTTGGCGGCAAGAATACTGTGGGAGACCGTATCAAAAGCTTTGCTAAAGTCAAGGAATAACACGTCCACTGCTTTCCCCTCATCCACAGAGCCAGTTATCTTGTCATAGAAGGCAATTAGGTTAGTCAGGCATGACTTGCCCTTGGTGAATCCATGCTGACTGTTCCTGATCAATTTCCTCTCCTCTAAGTGCATCATAATTGATTCCTTAAGGACCTGCTCCATGATTTTTCCAGGGACTGAGGTGAGGCTGACTGGCCTGTAGTTCCCCGGATCCTCCTCCTTCCCTTTTTTAAAGATGAGCACTCCGTTAGCCTTTTTCCAGTCATCCAGTAAAAAGGTTTTTAAATGGTACTGTATAATAAAACATGCATCCAACTTATCTATTTGCTTAAAAGTGAGATCTTCTTTTCCCCAAGAGTATACTAATCCCCCACTGACAAGCATTTTAACTCATGGGACAGGAGATTTCTTTTTATGAATCTCCGCTCCAGTCAATATTTGTGCACTGTTCTCTAACCCATTTTGTTGTTACCTGATTAGCTTTGTCATTCAAGTTGTTTCTTTACTGTCGTTGATTTAAGTGTCCTTACTTTATTAGATTGGAACCTAAAAGACATCTTCACTTTTGTTAAAGTCAAGCACAGCCTGCCTGAAAATTATCCCCTTGCCAAATTTTAATGTCCTATGGGAGATTGAGTGGTTCCAAAAAAGTCAGAAGAATTTTTTTGTAATGGACAATGGCAGCCTAATTATAGCGGTTGGTGCTGTGCTTCTTTTAATTAATATTGCAATGGATTTGCTATCACTGTAAATTATACAAATTAGTAATTCTATAAATTATATGTATGATGACTACAGCTAACACTTTTCCATCTAAAGGCTGAATGCATCCTTCTCTTTTATCAGTGAGTTTACTTTCAAATTTGAGAGAAGTCTTGCTTCAGACAGGCACTTGCTTTTAATTTTTTTACAGAAAATCTTACTTATGTGTGACCCCTATGACTTTTTTAATCAGTAGTTTGAAAAGTAACGGAAAACCTGTATAAAAGTACATTTAAAGAAGTATACTTAAATAAACACGCACACTTTTCAAATGGCTAAAAGTATTTTACCTCTGGTCTGATAACCCATGTGGCTCCTATGATGTCCAGATGTCTAGTACAGTATAATAATAATGGTACGTTTCTTTGTGATATTTACAAAGAAAATGCTTGCATTTCTTTTTTATGTAAATTTTTTGACGTTTTAGTTTAAGATAAAAGGTCTCATTCAAGATTAATTTGCATTATTTTTTGAATTTCAGGTATTGCTGTACTGATTAAGCCCTCTTTTGCAAGTAGTTTGTCCTTTTAATTGCTTCTCTCTTTTATTAGTATCTTTTGCTAATAAAAGTAATATAGAAACTCAGTCTGTATACAGCTACAGAAGTGTACACAGATAAGTCTAAATAGAGCAACTAAAGTACACTTTTAAAGGTTGTTTTTCTACATTTTGAATTTTTATGTTCAGTTTTTCAAATTTAGTATTGTCCTGCATATACAGTGTTTAGTGTTCCTTGTTTGTGGTAATATTGGTTTTTTTTCTTATTGTTTGATTTCCCATAGTCTGCTACTGTGGAAGTACCTTTCGAGATGTATTGTGTGGAACAAATGAAGAGTTTTCTGATGGATTTGGAAAGTTCTCCTGCCAGAAGACATGTGACAAGTAAGGGTCTCTTTCTCCCTAAAAAACCTAAAGCAAAAATTACATTTTATTCAACACTCAGTGACTGTGATATCCTTATAATTTCTTATATATTTCTTTTTTAGAAAATTAAATTGTGGAAGGCACAGCTGTATGCAGATATGTCATCCTGAGCCCTGCCAACTTTGTCCACGACTTCCCCAAGTAGTGCACTCCTGTCCTTGTGGGCAGACTCCTCTTAGCAAATTACTAAAACTAGGATGTATTGAGCGTAAACTGTGCACGGATCCCATCCCATCGTGTGGAAAAACATGTGGCAAACCTCTACCTTGTGGTAGCCGTGGTAACTAGAACTTTCTGCTTTAAACACTTACAAACGCATTCCATTATTAAAGAGACAGGTAGTCCAGATTATTTTTAAATAGATTCAGAATTAACAAAAATTCAGTATGAGTAGAAAGTGTTCATGGTGGTTGTAGTCAAATTGAATTTATAAAAGCCTCCACAGAATTTGCAACCCAAATCTTGAATAATTGTAATTGTACTTGAGAACCAGAAAGTGCAGCTGTCTAGAAACAAATGAAACTGACCAGCTTTTTTAGCACTGCCTATGTGGATCCCCACTGTAGGTGGTACACATGTTGTGGGAGGCAAGTGCAGAAATTTCTAGAAAACAAGTGTCCAGTGGGACTGCATATGAACCCTGCCTGTGTCTCCATGTCCTTAGTTCCTCCAGATCTTTCTGGCCAGCCAGCTGAGTTCTACGGCATGTCATTTCCCTGTCAGTCCCCTTTATCCTTTACAGAAAAGTTAATTGTAAGCAAACACGTATATACAATAAAAATGAAACTTTTAAATGGCATTTGCTCTGGTGCTCTTGTGGACCTTGCACTTTTTGCCTCACTGCTCCCAGGGATAGGGTCCAAGGTCCACTCTGAGATCACTTACTGAGAGTCCTTCTGTTCACCATGGGTCAGGTGAGGCAGCATCTACTACTTGAATGACTCCTTGCTGATGGGTCCCTTCAGAGATAAGTTCACCATATCCATATGGAATAAAAATATCTTAGATCTGTTGAGCTACATGGGCGCAGTTGCCCATATCGCAGAAGACCCAAGGACAGTTGTGTAGAAGAGGAGAGCGAAAAAAAGGCTTATATCAGCAAGATCTCCTTTGCCTAAGAGTCTTCTTACCAGCAATTCTCTCCTCCAGCCCTCTTTATTATCAGTGTAAAGGGAAGATGAAGATGCTACTGACAACCTTACCTTTCTTTATTGTCAAACGGTTGTCAACGTTGGCACGCTCTTCCTCCCTATTCTTTTCAAGGGTTTTTAAGAGTTTGTCTCCATTAGTCTCCCAATAAACCTTGAACTTTTGAAGGCCAACTTAAAATCACATACTCTACACAGATCTGTTATACTAAGTCATCAGCCTATTTGTCATTTTGAAGGCAGAACCGGTCCTGCCAGTAAATATTCAATTTATTCATAAATGATCTGGAGAAAGGGGTAAACAGTGAGGTGGCAAAGTTTGCAGATGACAGTAAACTGGTCAAGATGGTTAAGACCAAAGCAGACTGTGAAGAACTTCAAAAAAATCTCACAAGACTAAGTGATTGGGCAACAAAATGGCAAATGAAATTTAATGTGGATAAATGTAAAGTAATGCACATTGGGAAAAATAACCCCAACTATACATACAACTATACAGAGCTACAACTAATCAGGAAAAAGATCTTGGAGTCATCGTGGATAGTTCTCTGAAGATGTCCATGCAGTGTGCAGCGGCAGTCAAAAAAGCAAACAGGATGTTAGGAATCATTAAAAAGGGGAGAGAAAATAAGATGGAGGATAACATGGCAAATATCTTATTACCCTTATATAAATCCTTGGTACGCCCACATCTTGAATACTGCATACAGATGTGGTCTCCTCATCTCAAAAAAGATATACTGGCATTAGAAAAGGTTCAGAGAAGGGCAACTAAAATGCTTAGGTGTTTGGAACGGGTTCCATATGAGGAGAGATTAAAGAGGCTAGGACTTTTCAGCTTGGAAAAGATGAGACTAAGGGGGGATATGATAGAGGAATATAGAATCATGAGTGGTATGGAGAAAGTGAATAAAGAAAAGTTATTTACTTGTTCCCGTAATACAAGAACTAGGGGCCACCAAATGAAATTAATGGGCAGCAGGTTTAAAACAAATAAAAGGAAGTTCTTCTTCACACAGCCAACTTGTGGAACTCCTTGCCTGAGGCGGTTGTGAAGGCTAGGCCTATAAGAGGGTTTAAAAGAGAACTGGATAAATTCATGGAGGTTAAGTCCATTAATGGCTATTAGCCAGGATGGGTAAGGAATGGTGTCTCTAGCCTCTGTTTGTCAGAGGGTGGTGATGGACGGCAGGAGAGAGATCACTTGATCATTACCTGTTAGGTTCACTCCCTCTGGGGCACCTGGCATTGTCCACTGTCGGTAGACAGGATACTGGGCTGGATGGACCTTTTGGTCTGACCCAGTACGGCCATTCTTATGTTCTTATGTCAAGCCGGGCCGTAAAATCCTCTAAGGATGGAGATTCTATCATCTCCCTAGGTAACCCATTCCAGTGCTTCACCACCCTACTAGTGAAATAGTTTTTCCTAATATCCAACCTAGACCTCCCCCACTGCAACTTGAGACCATTGCTCCTTGTTCTGTCACCTGTCAACCCTCCTTCAGGTAGTTGAAGGCTACTATCAAATCCCCCCCTGACTCTTCTCTTCTGCAGACTAAATAAGTCCAGTTCCCTCAGCCTCTCCTCAGAAGTCATGTGCCCCAGCCCCTAATCATTTTCGTTGCCCTCCGCTGGACTCTCTCCAATTTGTCCACATCCTTTTTGTAGTAGGGGTCCCAAAACAGGACGCAGTACTCCAGATGTGGCCTCATCAGTGCCAAATAGAGGGGAGTAATCACTTCCCTCTATCTGCTGGCAATGCTCCTACTAATGCTGCCCAATATGCTGTTAGCCTTCTTGGCAATAAGGGCACAATGTTGACTCTCATCCAGCTTCTCGTCCACTGTAATCCCCAGGTCCTTTTCTGCAGAACTGCCGCTTAGCCAGTTAGTCCCCAGCCTGTAGCAGTGCATGGGATTCTTCCGTCTTAAGTGCAGGACTCTGCACTTGTCCTTGTTGAACCTCATCAGATTTCTTTTGGCCCAATCCTCCAATTTGTCTAAGTCATTCTATCCCTACCTTCCAGCATATCTACCTCTCCCCCAGGCTTAATGTCATCTGCAAACTTGCTGAGGGTACAGATCGCTATAGTTAACTGTATGTGAAGCTGAATGTGAAGGTGATGCATAAGTTCCAGCTCGGACAGAAGGGTCTACCTGCCTATTCCATGGCTGAGGCTGTCATGAGCATATCAGGAACCAAGTCCATCCCCTGGCTCCTGGTCAGCATTGGCCCTAATTTTCAAAGTAATTAATGGATTCAGCCTCAGCTATGTCAAAGACTTAAATTCAACCTGTGAAGTATTTGGGGCTGATGTTCTGTTGCAAACTGGGATTCATTATAGCTTTTGATTCAGATGACAAATTTTGAAGTTTTTGCTTAAGCTATGAGGTGCATAAATAGTTATTCTAGAAATGAATTCCATATTAGTCTACTGACCATTTGGTTATCTTTTGCTGTGGATTTTATCTCAAACTGGCATGCTGTTTAGGGGTGGATCATTTCCTTCCAAGGATAGACAGGTCAGGTTTAGTCTTCAGACTGAAAATTAGGCTGGAGTCCCACTGTAATGAATCTGTGGACCTTATTATTTGGAGAGAGGAAATTTTCAGGTAAACTCGGATACATTTTTGTGTCTGTTCAGTATTCTTCATGTGAAGCAACTTGCTCTTTAGAGGTGGGCAAACTTTTTTCTCCAATAGATGTTTCTCTCTTAAGAGTGCCAAGTTCATGCACACAAGTCACTATGCCTCTCATACAGTTTGGATCCATGCAGGCAATCATTTTGAAGAACCACAGATATTATGGGAAGTGGCTAATTTTTGTTTTCCTTTTCCAAGCTAAATAACCTACAGAAGGTCACTATACATAGTGAAAAACGAATGTTTAATTTTAATCCGTTTAAAAAAAAAAATCAGATTATACATATAGGGAAATTTTGTGTTCAAAATGGTTTTTAACATAGTGCTCCACAATTGTTCATCTGGTTATACAGCACCACATTAAATCACAAGTTTGATTCTATATATTTATATGAAAAGTGTTTAGCGAAGAGTCTATTTTTAATACTACTAGTATAAAAATTGTGAAACTGAAACTCTAGAGGCCATAGACTTACTAAAATGAACAAACAAACAATTTTGAACCTTTTTTTAAATATTTCAAAGCAATACACAACTTTAAGTTGCAAATCTTATAATGCACCAAATTCTTACACTTTTTTTGACATAAAATCTGTAACATATACATGAAATACTAAGGGAGGATGATTTAAAGGCAGTGTCTTGTGCCTGCAGCTCCCAACTCATGCAGAAGCCTCAATGTGACCACTAATGTTCATATGACATAGATATAAAGTACCAATGTTAAATTAAAAGGTTTAATTTACAAATCATTCTTACATTTTCGTTTTTGATAGATTTCATTCATACATGTGAAAATCTTTGCCATGAAGGAGAATGTGGACCCTGCTCTCGTACATCAAATATTTACTGTAGGTGTTCCTTCAAAACAAAGGTAAAAGTTTAAACACTAATCTCTAGTAACAAGCTCTTGAGCACTCTTAAAAATTATCCAGGGGAAGGGCGCACTATACACTGTAGTAGCAAGTAGTACTGCCAGGTTGTAGAACCAGTAAAAAATAGCTAGCTCAACATGTGGGCCATTTACTTATATGTTTCATCAAGTTCAGGAGTGTGCTTTTCAGTTTATATGTACATGATTTTATTCGTTAATTTAGCTGTGGAAAACCCATCTTCTACTACAAAACTACTACAATTCAATGAATGTTATTTCAACCAAAAGCATTGTTAGAAGCATGTCATGTGCATGGTGTTTTGATGTGGAATTTTGGAGAGTGGTGTTCATGCTGTGGAATGTTGCTAGTGCTGCCGTATTAATGCTCCTAGGGCTGCTATTCTTGGAGCTCTGGTGTTAGCTGCACTAGAAGAAAATGCAATGTATTGATTCATTAGTCCTTGATCTCATTCCTAAAGAAAGCCCACATGCTCAGTTTGGTGGCAAAGGCACTCGGCCAGGTTTACTGTCAACAAAGCACTCTCCTAGTGCCCCCATAGGACGAGGTACCGGTTCAATCAATAGACCAGGATGCTATCCCTTAAACTATTACAAAGATGCCCTGCATGATTTTCTTTTCATATATTGATACAAACAAGTTACATATTATATTCCATATGCTTTTTGTTATAATCCTGTACCTTGTATGTGCTAGTTTGAACAAAACATCTTCATCCATTATCCTGTCCTTCCCTCCTTATCTTATGAGGGGTCTGTGGGTCCATGAGTGTAGCATTTCCTAGAAATGTGTTTATGCAATTACTTGAGAACTCTGGGCATTTCTATACCATCCTCTCAGGTAAGGAATGTGCTTTCTAATACACCTCTACCTCGATATAACGCTGTCGGGAGCCAAAAAATCTTACCACATTATAGGTGAAATCGCGTTATATCGAACTTGCTTTGATCTGCTGGAGTGAGCAGCCCCGCCCCCCCGGAGCACTGCTTTACCGTGTTATATCCGAATTTGTGTTATATCGGGTTGCGTTATATCTGGGTAGAGGTGTACCTAATGTGTTGTCATTCTGCCAAGGCCTGGCATATGCTGGTTCACAGCCTTTGATTAACACTGTTAGTTATGCCTAGGGCTCCCGCAAGGCTTACGGGGAGTCATTTGTTTAGCAGTCTCCTTTTCTTCCTCACTCTATACATTTGTACAGTGATCCAGCAGATTGTCAGTTTGTACATTGCCAGTAATAGGCCAATTGTTTTCTTATTATTGTGTGGAACCAGATCTTTGAAGCAATTTGATAGCTGTTGGAGTCTTAATGAATGTGACATTCATGTGTTCAATAGTATCTTCAAACATGTATATCTGATGTTTCTGTGACTTTGCCACCAAGGTCCAATATGGTCCCTGCAAACTTGCTTTCCTGATAAATGTTTGGGCATAAGTCCTAGGATTATCTCTTATTGCTGTGAGTTCCACCATAGTATTTTTTAGCTTTTGCAGCTCCTCAGAGAACTCGAGATCCTGTCCTTGAAAAGTAAGAGTGAAGTCTATCATGAAATACCACGTGTCCTGAAAATGGCATTTCTCAAGACCGTCCCAGTTATGGTGTTAACCTTGGCCATAGTGGCAGCTGATTGGTCAAACATCTTGGCATCTGGACTGCTTCCCCTATATGAATTTACAAAATGCATTACAAGTCCAGTCTTGCTGCCTCTTTATCACAGGAACCTGCTCTTCTGTGAGTAGTGTCCCTATGGGTGTTCCTCTTCAGGTGTACATGTGCCCACGGGTCTTCAATCGAAGATGTTCGTTAACGTGTCTGTTTGGTCCACATGTCCTATACATCCTCATGCCATGCAATGAGGCTAAATAGGTCTGCTTGGGCAGACCACCCTCAGTTCCTTCTCAACCACCTCGGCTTGAGATGGAGTTTTAGCAGGTCCACCTCAAGTGTGCCTTGGCGAAAAGAATTTTTTCCTAGTTTATAGTTTAGTTCAGTCTAGTCTGTTAGATCAGCTTAGTTTAGTAGTTGGGAGGATTATTTTTTCTTCTCCCCTCCTTCTGGGGAGGCTTGTCTTCCTCAGGAGGGCATGCCTGGCTCACCAGGGTTTAAACCAGAAGTAGGCAAACTACAGCCTGCGGGCCACATCCGGCCCGTGGGACCGTCCTGCCCGGCCCCCGAGCTCCTGGCCCAGGAGGCTAGCCCCCGGTCCCTCCCCTGCTGTCGTCCCTCCCCCACAGCCTTAGCTCGCTCACTCCACCACCGGCACAATGCTCTGGGCGGCAGGGCTGGGAGCTCCTGGGGCAGCGTAGCTGCAGAGCCTGGCCTGACCTGGTGCTCTGTGCTGCGTGGTGGCAGCAGCGGTGTGGCCTGGCTCCAGCGCCACGAGTCAACGGTGCTCCAGGCAGCGCGGTAAGGGGGCAGGGAGAAGGGGGTGATTGGATGGGGCAGGGGTCCCGGGGAGCCGTCAGGAATGAGAAGAGGGGTTGGAGGCGGGGGTCCTGGGGCGGTCAGGGGACAGGGAGCGGGGGGAGGAGGGGAGGAAGTGGATGGGGCAGGGATCCTGGTGGGGCCTGTCAGGGAACAGGGGGGGTTGGATGGGGCAGGAGTCCGGGGGGGCGGCAGATAAGAGGTCGGGGCCAGACCACGACCCCCCTCCCCTAACCAGCCCGCCATACAATTTACGAAATCCGATGCGGCCCTCAGGCCGAAAAGTTTGCCCACCCCTGGTTTAAACATTTCCTTGCTTGCCAGGAACCCAACCTGGTTAGCAGCAGCACTGCAAATGTGTTCGCTGCCTAGAAGAGTCACATATCCCACCTAAGTGTGGCTTTTGTCCAGCCCTTAATTCCAGGGTGAAGAACCTGGAGATCAAGTTGAGGCTACTTATGATGGAGGGTTCCCTTTGCCCTGCTTCAGAGCCAGGTCGGCAATCTCCAGGCAGATCCAGTGTCCCTTCAAACTTGGCTCAGCACTCCCCCAGAAAGGGAAAGACTCCAGAGTGCTCCTCAAAAGGTCTCTGGAAGAAGAGCTCTGACTCTCCTTGTAAAGAGTCTGCTCTGAAAAGACCTTGGTCTCCCAGTAGGTCAACCATCTCAGAAAATTCAACCTCTTGAACTGGTACAGTAGAGACAAGGGGCTCCTCCAGTTCCAGCGGGACTGGAAAACCCTGAAGCTCATCTAAGAGCAAACACTCCTCTGAGCAAGCTTTGGTTCCATCTGGACATGATAGAGATAGCAAAGAGGGACGTTCTTCCAGACTGATACAGTTGGACATAGCTCTACCTCTGGTGGGTTCCTTGCTATGGTATAAGGCTAAACCTCCATCAGTGCCCACCTCAAGGTGCGCTAAATCTTCGGTATTGTGAACTTCTAGAGATAGATGGACAGTTATATTGGTTCATAACTCCCTGACAGACAGGTTAAGCAGATGCTTATCTGCAGACCAGAAATGGGAGATCCACAACACATTTCTAACCAACATATTCGCACAATGGGGTACTCCGCTGAGACTTCTTTGCATCCCAGATGAACAAAAAGCTTACCATGTATTGCTCCAGGGGAGCCATAAGCTGCGATTCCCAGGGCGATGCTCTCCTGCTTTCCTGGATGGATGACCTCAGATACACCTTTCCTTCCTTCCCCCTACTGTAGAGAAGATGTACAGAAGATCTGTCATAACAGAGCCACCATTATCCTCCTAGCACCCTACTGGTCCAGACAGTTCTGGTTCACGGAACTCCTAATGATGTCAGCATACCAACCTATCAGGATATGACTATTTTAGGATCTCCTAGCTCAGGAAGGGGGGGGGGGCAGATCAAGCACCCTAACTTGGGCTCACTCCATCTTATGGCCTGGTACTTGGATGGGCATCAGAAATAAAACATTCATGCTCTGTCCTTGTTCAGCAAATCCTTACCCAAACTAGAAAGGATTCTACTAGAGCCTGCTACCTAGCTAAATGGTGGTACTTTTCAGCCTGGGTACCTCACCACCCCCCTGTACATTCCAGTTATCCTAAACTATCTCCTCTGCTTAAAGACTTCAGGTCTGGCTCTAAGTTTGCTGCGAGTACACCTAGCATTGATTAGTGCCTTTCTCCTTCTGGTGAAGGGACATTCGGTCTTCATGCACCTGGCAACTGTGTGATTTATGAAGGGCTTGATCAGAACCTTCCCACCGGTCATTAAACCTACCTCTCAGTGGGACCGTAACCTTGTCCTGACAACTCTCTCAGATCCGCCCTTTGAACCTATGGAAATATGTATAACAATACCTACAGCAAAACTTCCCCCTCCTGGGGGTATTACAGCTCACTCCACGTGAGCACAAGCTACTTCCACGGCATCCTTATTGGACATTCTACTGCAGAGCAGCAACTTGGAGGTCTGTCCACACGTTCATGACACACTATGCTCTAACTCAAGCTGCAACTGTATACCAGCTGCTTCCTTGCACTCTCCTCCAGTCTGAACATTGCTTACCAGTCAACCACATGTGGAATAATAAGAAGAAATAGAGGGTACTTATTGTAACTGGAGGTTCTTCAAGAAGTGTGTTCCCTAGCTGTATTCCCCTACTTGCCCTCCATCTCCTCTCCTTCGGATTCTGTAAAAAGAGGAACAGGAGAGGCGCTGACCCATACTGCCTCGTAAACCCTCACTTGGGAGCACAAGTGAAACTGTTGTGCATGTGTGAGTCAAGAGACACTGCTTTGAAGAATTTCTGGACTCGGGCACATGGCATACATGTGTACCCACTTGTGGAATACAGATAGGGACCACATACTTTGAAAAACCTCCAGTTACAATCAGTAACCTCCATTTACTCACTTTTTGCGGTAACTGTGGTTCTTCGAGCTGTGTCCCCCTGTTGGTGATCACTACCCACCCTCCTTCCCCTTTGCTTCAGAGTTTCCTCTGTGGAACATTGCAGTAGAGAAGGAGTTGAGGTAGTTTGCCTGCACAGACCTCTATATCCTCT